TTTTCCTCAACTTATTTTGGCAGATGAGGCTGATCCTTTTTTAATACGAAACGGTTTAATACCGCCACTTACCTTACCATCAAATGGTGGGAATGATAATTTTAATATAAACGATATTGCATTACAAGCTTATACAGGTGAATGCTGTGTCCTTAAAAGCACGGCTACCGAATCAATTCATATCAAATGCAAAAAACTTTGTATGTTGGGTAATTGTACATCAGAAAGTACAATGCGGTTGATGCGCCGCAAAAATAATTATGAACAACCATCACCATTTGTTGAACGGTGTAATATATTTTGGGTACCAATGCCATTCACACTTGAAAAGTTCCAACAACCACAATGGCCATCTTCAGAACCTACTGAAGATCAAATTTGTATGACATTGGACGTTCTGGGTAATATTGATTTTTATTTCGATGATCACAGTCGTCAATTGATTATCAGTTTTGGTAATGCACTTATGTTTCATGGTATGTATTAGTTTTTGTATGTACAACTGATCTTTAAAATTAATGCTAATTCTCAGAAAACAGGAAACGCTTCACACAGATTATTCTTTAAAGAAATTAAATTTTGCAAATAATATAATCAATAATATTTCGTATGTTTATGAATTACTGAGAAAATTTCGGATCTCTTTAGGTTTTGATTTGAACAGAAAATGTCATATCATAATGATACGCCTTATCGTTTCATTATATCAACATATTCTTCTTCATTATATCTAAGACTGATGATGCTGCTGGATTCATCTGGAAAAGAAAGAAAATATTTACATACACATATAAAGGTGAAGGGAGAAATAGATTAAAAATTTTCTTCGGAGAAATTACAGAAATTATTCTAAATTTTCTATTCGAAATGTCTGTTCTACGGTTGACAGGGAATGAAGCTGTTTATTCACATTGAAATTATACTAAATGAGATAGAAAGTTAAGGTATATTACGAGACATAGATTTAGGTATATGTAAAATTTGATTATTCTAAGAGTTTTTGAATCTATTTATCCGTTGATTTCATATGAAAAATAAGCCACTATAAAAGTAATACGTTGACTTCCAGTAGTTTTTTTTCTTCATTTAATATTCAATTTTTTGTAGTGTATTCAAATCAAAATGGTGACCAATGGATCAATAATCGACTTGGAAAGTCACGTGAACACACCTACAGAATAGCTGCTAATATTCAATTAATTGAATTAGCATTTGTTTTACTTGATCAATATTATCTCGAGCACAAGCATTACAATGATCACAAAGCTGATAATTTGTTTCGTAATCAAATGATTGAATTAGCAAGTCGAATGTTAAACAGAACAGATTTATCTCAACGTGTTGCACTCGATATTCATTATCAAGTAGTTCAATCAGCTATTAATACAGTACTTATGAATATTGCGCAATACGAATGTTTTTTTTCTGGTTACGGATTAACAAGGTTAGCAAATATTTTTACATACATACATTTATATCTCTCTTAATAATAATATATACCAAAATCAGTTGAGACAAGAATCAATCTTAAACCCTGTGACATTATGAGAAATGAAAAAAAAACATTGCAATACTTATTTTGCATACTTTTTCAGCAGTGTCACATATCCAAGATTTTGGAGATGCTACCACATCTCCTGCGGAAGATGCCGCATCTCGCGCGAAAGATGCGAGTGTGGGTGTGGGGGATGCGCCTCTCGACAGGAGATCTTACATCTCCAGTGGTGAATGACCGTATCTCCAGAGTGTGGGTGCCGCGTCTCCCGCTGGAGATGCGGTGGAGATGCGGTGGCATCTCCAAAATCTGGGATATGTGACACCACTCTACTTTTTAGTCTAAAGTTGATTTGTATTCCGATTATTATCTGCGAGTTAAAGGAGTTCCACAATAACTCTAACAGAAAATATTGCTTATCGCATATATATTTCATTTCATTATAGTGTCCACTTAAATGCATCCTATTATTCAAATTTGTCAATAAATACAAACAATCTTAATCCAATAATGAAACCAACATCATCATCAAAAAAAACTCAGTAAGCTTTTAATATAATTGCTTTTTCCGTTCTTTTCTCGATATATGAATTTGTTCGCAACTTATAAGTTTTTAAAAATTGCAGAACTTCATTGATTTATTTTTTGACAACAATCGTGCTGAAAAATAACTTTAGACATTTCAAGAAATTCAAATTTAGGGAATTGTCGACATTATAAGCTGGATAACATTATATTTGCTAGTAGTTGCATGATTAGTTTAAGAATCACTCATTCTTAAACTATCTAAATATTCTATTTGAGTATTCAAATGAATGCCTTAGGTTTACGAAATATCTAGTTTTTAAATCATACGTTAGCCGAGTGTTTTTACAAAGTTATACAATTACGTATGCACGTCTATGCGGTTACCTACAAACGAAGAGTCGGTCGCACATGATCTATAATATTAAACTTCTTAGTTATCGATAAGTAACACTTGACCAAGCATTATCTTTTTTATATTCATTTATGCAGCTTATTAACTTTTAGTTTACTGTCGGTTTTATTTTATATTTATGGAATAGTATCATATCTTGATAGTATGCAAATATAGAATTGAATATAATATTAGAAAGCGTACATTTTAAGGAACATAATGAATATGCTGCGCTTGTGTCTTCACGATATTATGATGTCATAGACAATTTTGCTCTGAGGCAAACTGATCTCAGTAAAATCTGAGCATATATCAGCTAAGATATTAGTTATTCTTCCAGTATCACAACGACGTTCTTAGTTTTTTCAATCAAATGATGAGACAGGTGAAAGAAATTTTATCAGATATTCACCAAACAGATGATGGACCTTTATAAAATTTTTCTAGAATGTCTCTCAAGAGTCTTTATGTAAGATTACATCATAATTTATGCTATGGGTGTCCAAAAATTTTTTTCTATTTAATCTAGATATAGAGGCAAGATTTATTACAAAAATAGTATTTTAAGGATGAGACATGTCATCAAAACAAAATTAGTTGCGCAAAAAGAATCTAAGGAATAAAGAGAAACAAATATTTTAAAAGTCATGATAGTATGGATTAAGTGAATTAATTTTAGAAAATCACACAACATGGTTGATAATGAACAAAATCTTCCACCTTCATCAGATGATATTGATAATCAATCTGAAAACAATGATATAAGACCAATTATGATTTCAATGGCGACTGAAGGTGAAATTCAACGAAAAAGACATAATACAAATTTATTAGATAATAATGAAGAAGAAAATTCGGATAAATCTAATCCTGAAAGTCATATTTATAGTAATAAACAACATTCAAAAAGAAGCAAGTTGAAAAATCCATCTTTAATCAACGATGAGCGTGTACAAATCATTGCTCAAAAAATTCTTTCTTTTAAACATATTGCCTTTACACTATGTCAAATTGGTTCATTTAGCTCAAAATGGAAGCATGAAAGAGAAAAAGCTATTAATCAATTATGTGGTGCAAAATTGTTAAAAAGACTTCAAAAAAGTGTTAAAACACCAACTAGTCGTCCATTTGATTATCACATTAAAATACCTCCACTCGATTTTTCCAATATTACGGAAGTTGATCAAATTAATGAACGTCTCAACAAGTTTAAACTCAATATCCATCAAATTCGACCAACGTATTCGACAATCGACATTGGTCAACTCATCGCTCTTCCACCATTAACAAATTATCTTCGTGCACATCCTCATATAATCCAACATTGTCCTGTAAGTAATAAAAAGATTTCAAAAGATATTTGGAAAATGTTTCATAGAGGAATAATTTTCCGAATATGAGTATTTTTATTTTTATAGTAAAGAAGTGATTTGAATCACTATTGAGTAGTAAAATTGAATAACGCCAATAGGTCGAGCAACACATAAGAGTTATAAGTAAACCAACACTTGGTTGATCATTTGATGTTTCTAAATGAAAATCATTTTTATTACAACTTTTTAATAAAGTATGACAAAACAGCAAGAAGAGAAATTAGATGTTCTTTTTTTTTTCTTTTTTGTCTTTATGTTAAATTTTCGGTCATTGAGAGACCATCGTCAGAACTGGATTGTATAGTAGTTGAGGGTGCTGTTGAATAAATGATTTGAGTACTACATGTACAAATAAAAAAGAACATATAATTTTCTTCTTGATGTTGTTGTCATATTTTATTAAAAAATTGTAATAAAAATGATTTTCATTTAGAAACATCAAATGATAAACCAAGTGTTGGTTTACTTATAACCCTTGTGTGTTGCTCGACCTATTGGCGTTGTTCAATTTTATTTACAAAATCCATGTTGGTCTTATTATTATCATCTATTGAGTAGTAATATGCTATGTGAACTTCAAATCGACATCGTTTTGGTTTGAGTCATTATTATATCTATTTATAATTCGATCTTAAGTATCTTCAGTATCTTGAGTATCTTCAGTGTCAGTTGATGAAGAAACTCAAAACAAGCAGCTTTCTCTAAACTGACAAAAAAAAATTAAATAAATGATATATTTCTATAATTACGAATAAATTCTTAACCATGTTGACATCCGAACCTTTTATCTTCCGCTTAGGATATGGCTCATTTTCTTACAAATATAGATGGTGAACATACTTCAACTGTTGTTTCTTCAAAATCAAATATAAATCCAAATATATCAATCAATGATGACAGTGATGAAATGATTCATACAAACGAAGATATAAATGAAGAACAGGTGTTTTTTCTCTGCAGTTACTATTTTCGTCTAATCCATTTATTAATATCTTAGCACGATAATTATGGTGATCGATATTCTATGATCAATCAACAATATAGTTCAATAAATGATCAAACATCATCAGTAAGCTAACTTTCCTCCATTCTTATTATTATATTTATTTTTTGAATAATTTATTTCAAGCATCGTATGATCAATCATGGTTCCAGTGCAATAAATACAAATATTCAAATATCATCTGCTTACAGTTCAGCAATGCCTCTTCTTTCAACACCGCAAGTAATTAATTTGTTAAAGTTCTAATGTTTAATAATAAACATTCTTATATGTGGATTTTAATTAAGAAGATCTAAATTTCACATAATACAAGTTTTTCACCGAATTTAGGTCATTCATGTCAATTTAGTTGCAACATCAGAATAATGTCGAGTGTAGGCATACAAATAAGATTAAAAGTTTTATCATAATTGGTTTTTGTCAAGTCTTAGTTGAATGGCACATAACGGGAACATTTTGACTCAGAATGTAAATAACTAAAAAGTATTGAATTAAATCCGATGTAGTGCTTTTAAAATTTTGATCACCAAATTTTATAAGCCCTTTAATTGAAATCTAATTTGGGTCGCATTTAAATTGATCATTTGCTTTTCTTAATGTTGTTTTTTTTATAGACTATGGTCGATCAACAATCTAGAGAAAGAAATATAGATCCACCTTGTCTTGCTACTGTTGATGCCCAACCAATGTCAACAACAATATTTCAACGGCAAGCTTTGGTCTCGCCAAATGAAACAACTGAACAAATTCAGGGTCAACAAACGTGGGATCCATACTTTCTACAAAAATTTGAAGAATTTATGGCGATGCAACGAGTCCAGCTTGCTGGCCAATTATCTTCTGGTTTCAATCCGACGACTGTCGGACATAATCGTTCAGTAACAGCAATGGTTGCACCACCTCTTCAATTACCAAGTGCTAGTGATCTATTGAAAGAAACAACACAACAGACACCTGCTTCTTTAGCTGCTACTCGTGCCGATCAACGAGCTAACAATCAAAGAAAAGAAGCAAAGAAACAATTATTATTTGTGTCTAATGCAATTGAACATCAAGACTAACCATCAATGTCCAGTACAATATAAGGTCTAATGTTACCCTTACCAATTGAACAGTCACTTCAATATAATAAGTAATTATCTAAATACGTCATATTTTTCTTTTCCTCTTTTACATTTGCTTTATTTAGCTTTTTTTTTCTTTCTATGAACATTCCTTCTCAAACCTTGTTGTTTCTTTCTCTCCATACTTCCACTGACGATGAACAGTCCCTAAGTAATTTAAGTCGTTTTCATAGTATTTGCTTCTATGTTGGAGATATCATTTTGACAAAAACATGAAGGAGTTTTTCTGACTACACTTCAGCAAAGTATTGTTCACAATGTATTGATTTTTCCATGTAGCATAAGATATTTCACGAAAAGTGAACGATGCACATTTAATCTATTTTTCTCGATTTATAGATCTGATCATCTTATTATGCTCTAAAGGCCTTAGTGAAAACGAATGTTTCCTTTTTCATATATTGTATAACTAGAAATTCAATCATATTTCAATTATTTGAGGGCTTTCTTCGTCAGTAATAAAAACTTTCCTAAAGTTTTTCTTGAAAATGAGTGATAGAAAAAAACTTTTTTTTTCTCTTGTTTTGTTGTGATTAATTGACGTATAAGGTATCTTTTGTCAAAATGAAATTCTTGCGCAAAAGATTTGTTTTTTTTGTCAGATGTGAATTAGATTGTTATGTTTTTCTTCCTCGTTTTTTCCCTATTTGTATGTAATTGAACCAAAACAGATATATGTGTACATATATAGTCCTGTCATAAGTGTGATCACATTTGTATATGTATTTCTTCGAATATGTTTTTCTTTATTTGTTGAAACAAAGATTATATCAAAGACTAGATAGTAACACCGTCATAGGTGGAAATGTCTTTTTTTGCCTTCAATTACAATCCTGAAAAAGTACATAAACAATCATTAAGAACACATAATTCGCCATTTAAAGATTTCCACGTATTAAATATGAAACTTTATTTTCAATATAACTGAAATTCATTTGTATTTTATAGATGTTAATGTACGCTTTCTGAACATTAAACGATGACAACGTCTTCAATTCTAAGTCAGCAACAATGGATTTTGATGCAAAATTTATCAAATTACGTACCAATCCAATATTGGCCAATCCTGGACTGGCTGAATGATTCTCTCGGGCCAGGTATTTTTTCTGTGTAGAATGAAAAATGTTAACATCGCATAGCTATCTTCTAATTTTGGAAGCCGTGCAAGTAACATTGAGTTTTGGAGACTGCAATATTTCGCTAAGCCTTTGTAATCTTAAGTTTCCAAGAATAGTTACTGCTTACTTCATAATGATCTTACATTTTTTTCAATGGTGCATATTAATTTCTATCTTTCGCAGATTATTATTCAAAATTCGAAGATATGTCAACATTTTTCAAGTTATTTTTCAATACGCACATCAGTGCTTCAGTTTTACAATTAGCGTGTGGTTTTTTTGGAACCGATTTGCCGAGATTTAAAATTCCCGACAACTTGAACCAGCTGATACAAGTATTCTCCAACGCTAATCACCTTCCATCTTTCACAACATATCACATATATCCGAAAGAAACTTATTGTGTTCAATGTAACAAAACTTTTGATAATTGCTCACGTTTGGCTCGAACTGTTCATTTATATCTTGAAAGGTATTTTTATTTTTCAGCATAAGTAATTCTAAAAGAGCTTTCCTTCAAAATTCCTAAAAAATATGAAATTATGCTTAAAACAAGTTTCTATGTAAATCAAGTTTTAAAAATTTACTGGGTAATCCACGTGAAAAATAGAATTTACTAAAAAAATTAATGGTTAGTTGGATATTTGTACAATATACAGATATTTTGTAGGCAATATTTTGAATATGACAAAGAAATAAATTTATCTTAGTTGTTCAAAAGAACCAATCTAACCGAATTTTGACTAAATAAAGGCCTTCTCAAGTAACTTGTGCTCGGTTAAATATTCTTTAACAAATATCAGATAAACATTATAAACCTATTTTGTTTTCCTCTAGTGGTGAAATAGTTAATGCTGTTGTTCATTCTTATACATGCAAACATGAACATACTAAATTCAGTAATAATAATCCAATTATTTATTTTCCATCTTTCTATGTTATTCAAACCAATGTGATGAAAGAACGTCGTTTCATACATTCACACGTTATTGGATCGAAATATATATATCTAGGTGGATTATATGCTTTCGAAACATCTTTATTAAAAGATTATCTTATCTTGTTTGGTATTGGTGCTATTACTATCTGTGCCTTTGTTGATGTTTACAATTTCAAGCACCGTCTAATCGTCAATGATGATCAAAAACTAGATCGAAAGCTATTTACTCGAAGTATTCTTTCTTTCGCCCTTATTCATTTTTTGTTTTTCATGGGTTATCCAAATGTTGATTTTCCATACAATTGTTCAGGGAAAGTTATTGATACATTCTTTTATCGATACCAACGTATCGTTCACGTGTTATTTGTGAATTTCTGGTCTCAACATAAATTTTTTTCTTCTTGTGGTATGCATTGTTCTCAAATGATTGTTGGAGATGGCAATCAGAAAATCAGAAGAGTAATATGCCAGTTTCATTCACTAGTATGTATGTTTTATTATTTCGCTAAAGACGTATACGTAAATCTTCCTATTAACGATCGGGTATAATCGTTAGTTGTTGAAGATAAGGACATGACATTCAGAGAAAAAGTTGGTTTCTTTGATAAGAAAATATATAGCCTATTCTGTTTAAGTTCGTTTGAATTGAACAGCATTGGTGTTAATGCTTTAAGATCGAGTAGTATTTGTGTATTATTATTTTCATTCGGGACTAATCAGAGTTTATGTATATAAATATAAATCTTACATTTAGTAATATTTACGATGTTATCTTGAAGCTAAATTATTCAATGTCTTCTTATTACATTTTTTTGATAGATATACATTCTATCAGAATCGACAAGTATCAATACTTAGGTTTTAAGTATAGATAATTATCAATCTCTAAATATGTCGAAGGACAGTCCAAACGTATCTGTAATACAGAATGTTTGATATAAAAATTATATGAATATTTTTTAATCATTTTTTGTTTTTCATTTAACACACCAATTATTAGCAATCATTTTTTTTTGAATTCTAGAAAAAAAATTTAGTAATTGCAAATACTTTCAGTTTAAATATCAAATATTTTTTTTCTGTTTAGACAATCGAGACACCTGAATACGAACATTTTACGATCGGATGTGATCGAAGTCCATTAAATGGTCGTGGATATTGTGCCGAGCATGTACATATCCATCATTCACAACAAACAAATCTTATCCAAGAAGATGATGATGATAATTATATATTACTTCGTAATGGCAAACGACGTATGTCTTATCATAAATTATCATGTAATACAAAGAAATCTAAACCAGAAAGTTATATTTCAAATTGTCATCGAACATTTGGTATAATTATTTACGTCTTTAACTGTAATGTCATATTAGCTGCTCATGAAATAATCCGATCTGAAACCGTTAAAGAAATCTTAGCAGGTCTTTGCGACATAATACGTATCTCAAGTACAAATATAATCCAACCTCATACAATAGCTGATTCGTGGTTACCACGAACAATTGTTTACGATGACTGTTGCCATGTTGTAAAACACATTATTGACTATTTTCCAAACTTCTTCCGGCAAACACCTGCTTCAACTTTTCTATATAACTGTTCATTTGCTATTGATTCCTATCATTTTCGGAACCATACAGATAAATGGTGCCAAAAGTACCTCAATCCTAACGAAAATGAAACTGTCAAACGTTTCAATACTCAATCAGCTGAACAATCCAATTCTTGGATAAAGCGCTTCGCTAAACAGTTCAGCCGTTTCGATGACGAGCATTGTGCTCTTTTTTTGTCGTTATTGCTTCATATTCGTAATTGTAAGCAAACAAATCTGAATCCTTTTGCAACAAACATACGAACTTTGTTCTCAAGCTCGCGTAACTTTAATTGCTCTTTTTCTCGTTCCTGAATTGACATTTTTATCACTCTTCATTTGCAATTCAGTCTCGTCTCTATTGCGTTCTTACATGTATATTTTGTTCCAATACCTACATAGTAAATGAGTGAAAAGTTTTTATATGAAAAAATAAAATAGTATCGAACTTATTATTATATAATTTTCATCGTACTTTAGGAAAAGTGCGAGAAACACGACTAAAGGTAATTTAAAATAATCTTTCACTATGCATATTTTTACAAAAAATTACTGGAACAGTAAATATGACGTTTTTTCATTTCAGATTATATATGAAATCGGAAAAGCTTAATTCGAAAAATGTAAGTCGTGTTCGAACACGACGACAAAAACAATTGAATAACAACAACTCATTTGAACTGGAAAATGAGAAAAATGATCACAATGTCATGGTAATTTATTTTTAGAAGCTCAATTAAATTTTTCCTTAAAACTTGATTGTTCTATCGTGTTGACAACTTCTTCTGGTCCATTTCATATGAAATTTCTACAAAGATAACAAACGATTTACATCAGAACTCGACGATCTTCTTTGTATGGCTATAAAAACTTCACTAGTAGAGTCGTAACCTAATGTAATTGCAAAATAATTCTTTAGATATCATTTTATCATTATATACTTGATTCTGAAAGAAATTATTCTTCTAAGTTTTTCCTTGCCTGTTTTCTTCAAAAAGTACACAGAACATTTTATGAAAACCTCCTCTAGATAACTATAAATATCTCAAATACGACGGTAAACGCACAAAAAACATTTTTTCAAAAGATGCTTTTATTCACACATTGTATTCTAAAAACAACGCGTATCGCGTTGATGATTCTACACCTTTTGAATTTTTTTTCATATAGATATGGTTCTTTTCTCTAACTAAAAGAGCCTATTAAGTGGCACATAATGTCATTTAGTGGAATTATAGTTTTTTTCGTATCTTGTCTATAAGGAAGAATTTCTAATTAACAATTT